ACTCTATGCACCCCCTTAAGCCTCTCTACAAATATAATCACATTTCCCCACCACCACACCCATTAGCAGGTGAGGTGGCCGAGTTGGTTATGGCGCCAGGTTAAGGTCTCAATCTTAGCAATTGCAACAAAAGCGCGATTCACAACATTAAAAAGAAAGTTGAATCCAGTTGTTTCCTGGTGGAGCAATCCGCGCGAGTTCAAGTCTCGTCCTCATCAACAAGATTCTTTTGCACCCTTTTTGTTAGGGTGATGGTACATGGTAGGCGTTGTGGTGGAGTTAGTGTAAATTTTCAATTGTGGGTGTGGTGGGTGCCGAATCATGTAATGTAGGTGGTCTGAGCGCCCGCCTGCACGCGGCTGCTTGTGTGCGCTAAGGTACCTACCTTCGCCGGCCTCAGGTCGTGAGTCGTGGCCACTAGGTACCGGGTAGGTAGGAAAGACGCGTGCATGATGAGATTGGGGAAAGGCACGATCGTGGGTCGGCGGGAGGGACGCTGCCGTGATAAGGGGGAGGGGGGAACGGGCCGCTGGGTGAGGAGGAAGCAGGCGAGGTGGGGGACGGCTGAAAGACGTACATGTTAAGGGAAGAGTGAGCTGCATCGTTTTGTACCAGCAAACCCGGTTGATCGACCATTTGACCCGGATGGATAGAAAAGGGAGGTGGGCGGACGTTTATCATGGGATATGGATGTATGCCCTCCCACGTTCGATTGGTTTTACACGATCAGGGGAGCAGCAAGAACAACGACAAAAAGGAAAAAGAACAATGGAAAGACGTTAGATGTGCGTGAAAAAGTTTGAAGTGCTATTGATTGATTGATTGTATCCACCATCATATCCGCATAGTCGGTCGCCGCGTGTCGACTTTTACCAGGTCCCACGCGCCCAAAAAACGCCATCCACCCATCACTTCGTTAACCAAAAATCCTAGTGGTATGCCGTATTTTCTGTTCCCTACTCATTCATCACCACCTCACCTTGCTCCGACCACCTCGACCTCCTCCTCGACCTCGGCGTCGCCGGTATCAAAGCGGACAGCAACAGCCCAATCGCTGCCAAACTTGACGCCCTTCTTGCCCGGGCCGCCCAGCCGGCGCCACGGCTTGTTGAGGCCGAGGTCGACGACCCAGACGAGCCACTCGGGGTCGCGGCCGTCGCCCAGCTGCAGCGCGCGCAGCAGGCCCGTCCGCGGCGCTCCGAGGCACACTATGTACTTGGCCCGCACCTCGAGCGGCTCGCCCTCGAGAATCGACACCTCGCCCGTCGAGTTGTTGATGCCCGACGGCGCCTCGATGGCGAGCACGCTGGCTCGGCTCTTGTTGGCCCAGCCGACGATGGCCAGCGCCGTTTCCTTGTCCTGCGGGCCCAGCGCATCGAACTCTTTGTTGCGGCCTAGCAGCGCGTCGACGATGAGTTCGGGCGGTGCTTCCAGGCGCTTGAGGACGCGGTGAAGGTCGCTCCAGCTGCGTACGTACCCACCGAAGCGTCTGAAGATGTCGACTTGGCGCCGCACATCCTTCTCATAGTCGGCTGGTCGCTCGCAGCCCAGTAGTGCCACAAAAACGCGAGGACCACGCGCGTGGAGGTGTCTGGCCGCAGCAATGGCACGTGCGCCTGTGCGGTGATTGCCTGCGAGGACTATGACGACCGGACGAGCGTTGATGGCGAGATTTTCGCGGGCGAGGCGCCGCCCCCCCGGGTTTACGGCTGAGAGCGCAACCTGTGCGATACCCCGACCAGCGTTTTCAGCCAGCTGCTCTTCTGTGATGAGATAGTCGACCTCGGCCAACTCCTCCAAGGCCGTCATCGTACCAGGGGTAATGGTTGCACAGCTCTTGCCAGACGAAATGACGCGCAGCTTCGCAGGATGCAATTGCGGGAAGAGAGAAAGCGACGGCGAAGACGGAGGGGTTGGACGGCCGGGAACAGGGCTATTTGTTGACGAGTAGGCGTTGGATCCACGGTGTCCTTGTGATCGGAGTGATTTGGTGAGGTTGGAAGGATGTGCGGATACAATGTCTTCCTGGATCGCGCTGTTGGAGCGGAAAGGAACGCGCTTTGTCGATGCCAATGACCTATTGCGGCGGGAGTTGCGCCCGCTATCAAAGTCGGAGAATTCCTCCTCACTTGAGCTGGAAGACGAGCCCCGTCGTCGAGTCCGGCGTTGCTCCAGCACGTTTTCTGTGGGATGGAGGTTCTTGCCACCGGCGGTTCCAGCACGGGGCTGCAGGCGGTTGAAACTTACCAGCCGCTCCTCATCGGCTGTCGTGTCTTCGTTTCTGATTTGTTCAAAGACTGAGCGCTTGTCAAACTTGGACAAGTTTTCGGCAAAGTCAAAGTCTGGCAGCTCCTGAACGTCCGTGGCATCCTCCGTCGCCCAACCATTCGTGGCCTCCATAGCCTTTTGGCGCCTGCTCTTCTTGTTGGAGGCTTTGACGGCATCACGGCCGACTTTGCCACCAATCAGGCCAGGTGTTTGCTGAGCACCAGAATTGTCCTGCAACATTGGGGTCTGCCTCCATCCCTTGCCCTTGTAGTGGGCTGGAGTCTTCCGTTGAGTCTCAGGAGACAATTGTGGAGCAGCGGCCTCACGTTCTGGCGGGAACAGCTGGTCTTCTCTTTGCTTCTTGCCCCCTCGCCCGCCGCGTTTGCGCCTCCTCCCCTCGTCACCCTTGAGCGGAGTTTCCATTGGCTTCCCAGTCCGCGTCTTGTCGATGCTGACCTTTGGCTTATGCCCCTCATTTGTCGTCGAATCTCCAGAATCACTTCCGCTCTCGAGCCCCAAGGCATCAAACGGCGCCGTCAGTGTGGCCGGGTCCTCCTTTGACTTGGCCGTCTTGGCACTGACCGACGCCTTCTTCACCGGCTGAGGAAAATGTGGATTGTTCCTTGGCAAGGTCGGAGGGGGAATTGCGTCGACAGGCTTGACCGGCGTCGAGGGTACTTCGTGGGCCGTGGAGGCGCCCGAGGCTGGTTTCTTGCCCACGCTCAGGATGGCAGGGTCCACAAAATTCTGTTTCGGCTTTGAGGCCGGTGCCGGCACCTCGACAGGCGTTGCGCTTGGCCGGGCATACTGAGGAGCAGGAGCAGGGGCAGACGGCGGGATCGAGGGCGGAAAGCTGGGGGCATTGCTGGGAGGATAAGAAGGCGGAGGTGCGGTTTGAGGCGGCAGCGAGGGTTGGTGGACAGAAATGTCGGCAATGTGGACACCTGCGATGGTGTAGCTGGGCAAGCGGTGGCCGGAAGCCGGAAAGCACACTGCATGCAGGGTCAGCCGTTAGGTTGGGCTGAGAGAGGCCCGGATGGTCGAGTACATACCGTCCTGCAAGACCAGGGTTGCTGTCTGCTCGACGACATTGGCAACAATGCCCTGCACAACCGTGTTTGGCGGCTGTTTGAGCGTGACAAGCACGTTGATGCCGATGAGGGTGGCAGACATGGCTGGTGTCGGAGGTGTCGAGGCAACGAGGCAAGAAAGGGTTCGCAGGGCCCCGACGAAGATGTGTTGAAAGGTTGGGCCAAGGCGGCGTGAGCTAACTGCTGCCGGGGGGAGGCGGCCGGCACGTCCCTTAGCGGCGCGTCACCGCGTGCAGCCGTGTGTGTCTCCGAGGCAGAGCCACTCCACTTGGGCATTTATTTCACTTGAGACCTCACTTTAACCTCACCGGTGTACAGATCATGCCTCCCTTCAGCTTCACATGCACTAATCTCAAAGGCTCATCATTCACTCTCACCCCATACATCTGCTCCAGCATCTCCGGTATTTATAGCCACCAGTCCATGCACACAAGCTATAAGCATATATCCACACGGCGATCCTCCACGGATTATTTGCAGAGATTCAAGCGACAACAGCCAAAAATAACATGCACGACAAGCATTCAAAGTTTTCAACCCAACACGCCTCGTAGCATTTTGGACGAACCTATCGTCGTCCCCTGCACTGGCAAAGCATCATGGCGCTTTCGTACACAGCACTTCGAGACCTCCAGTCGACTCCGAAAAAGAAAAGGCCATGCCGCTACAACCAGACTGTCCAACCCTGGCAGCCCATCCAGGGAAGGCTGAGAAGCTTCGCTAAATGACGCAAAACGCCCCCGCCATGCTTGAGTATTCATGCTTTCGTCGTGGATCCGGGTGGAGGGAATCATGAAAAAAAAAAAAAAAAAAGCCCAAAAGAAGATGGACAAGAAGAAGAAGAAAAAAAATGACCCGGTCCAAATGAGCGAGTTCTGCGAGATGCCAAGGAACGAGAACAGCCCCGGATATGGATGAAAGTGCCATGTCGATTTTATAATGACGGCGAGCCCATTTGGCCATACTCGAAATCTCTCATAATGCCAAAGAGATCGCGCTTGGAGTTCGACGAGGTTGTCGACAGCTCGATGTTGCCAATGTCGCACCAGTTCTTGACGGGCTACGTCAAGTTGTTAGCAGAGTCCAGACGGACAATATCCCAAACGGACTCACCAGACAGCTCAGGTGCTTGCACCAGTTGCAAGACTTGTGGTAGACGTAGAAATTGTTCAACAGAACAATGAAGCCCACAATCACCGCAACGAGAGCTCCAGCACGGAACAACCACCACGCCCACCAAAGAGGCTTGCGGCCTTTGAAAAAGGCGACAGGTTGCCTCGTAAACTCCTTGATCCCCTCGGCACGGTTCTCGGGATCCTTTGGATTAGGCACGGCGCTATATGGAGGATCGTCGACACCGATGCGCTCGCGGAGGGGACCCGGGGAATGCAGAATGGAAATGCCCAGCCCAAGCCCCATAATGAAGCCACCAATATGGGCAAAGTTGTCAAGGCCTGGCAAAAGACCCAGCACAAACGCAATGATGATGTCGAGAGCGATGAAGCATAGCTCCCGAATCGGCTTGGGGCGCTCTCTCCAGTGGTAAAGAAGATCCAGCAGCGTGAGCGCGATGATGCCGAAAATAGCTCCAGAAGCACCACTGAGTCGGAATCTGCATTAGCAGCTGAACTGCACGCTCGGGACAAAGAAACGCGACTTACGTGGAGGCCATGCCGTTCGGGGCATAGTTAGCTCCCAAGACATTGCCGAAGATTCCCGCGGCAATGTAGACCAAGGCGAAGCGGATTGGTCCAATTAGCAACTCCATGTCTCGTCCTACCGTCACTTGGACGAGCATGTTGAAGACAATGTGAATGAGACCGGCGTGGAGGAAAATGGGCGTGATGAACCGGTACCAC